TGCTTGTTACAATATTCTGGACATTACTAGTAATTTACTTTCTTTGTTATGGCAAGTTCTGCCAGAATCTTAGGTGAATATATTTGGAGAGATGGTTGACCATACTATGTTCACTAACACCTCTGCAATGCCTAGTTCCCTTATTTTAAGGCAAATATCAGACTCTGACAGGTTAAAAAAAGTGTTGGCAATATCTTAAACAATTGAAGATTATATATATATGAAAATATAAAAGAAGCAAGATACAAAACCAAAAAATCTAACTTGAAAGTCGTCAATTAATTTTTTAAAAGATTTTATTTATTTTGTTTTTTAGAGAGGGGAAGGGAGGGAGAAGAGAGAGAGAAAACATCAATTTGTGGTTGTCTGTAGTGCACCCTATACTACAGACTTGGCCAGCAACCCAGGCATGTGTCCTGACTGGGAATCGAACCTCTGACCCTTTGGTTTGTAGGCTGGTACTCAATCTACTGAGCCACACCAGCCAGGGCTGTTCTATATCTTTTAATGTACATAGTACAGGCTCAGGAGTTTCAGTTTCCAAGAATTTCTTCTTTCCCTCTCATAGCTTTGGGCAGAACAGTTTTGTATGTTTTGCTTATGCTACTCATTTTCAAAGATGTTAAGTAAAACAGTAGATACTTAAATTAAACCTTTTTTGAAGGACTATTCTTCTGTACTTGACTTATATGAGGAATTAATGCAGCAAGTAACTGAAGCAAATACTCAATTCTGGTTTGACATGGAAATCATGCTCAAATTACTCAGGAGGAAAAATTTCTTAAAAGAATAAAAGCGCCATGGGTAGTATGTTTTAGACAGTTAAAATACTGTGTAATGTTAAAGGAAAGTTTCCACTAGAATAAAAAAAAAAATCCCGGTTTTGCCAAATCATGTATTGAGTCTGCATCATTGTGATAACAAAATTTCAGATCTATGAAAGGATAAGAATAGCCATAATCTATGTATGATTCTAGCATATCAGACCATAGATACAGAAGATTTTGAAGGTCTGAAATTCTAAGTGAAATGAAAGCATGCAAAACCTATTCAAATAGCTAAACTCCTAACCCTGGTTAGTGTGACTCAGTGGAATGAGTGCTGGCCTATGAAGTAAAGGGTTGCCGGTTGGATTCCCAGTCAGGGCAAATGCCTGGGTTGCAGGCCCGGTCCCCAGTAGGGGGCGTGTGAGAGGCAACCACACATTGGTGTTTCTCTCCCTCTCTCCCTTCCCTTCTCTCTAAAAATAAATAAAATCTTTTTTTAAGGATAAAAACAGACTGGTAAGCAAGTTTATATAGTGCTTATTCTCTTTATGAAAGTAATAATGTATTGTTTTGTAAATTATTTAGTTATTTTTGTACAATAAAAGAAAATAATCCCCAAGCTATGACATGGAAACAGCCATCTTATCAGTTAATGAAGTCAACTATTTTTGAGCAATATGAAAAGGAAAATCTGTTAAGTATTTGTCTTATGGTGACTAAAAATCACACCTTAGATACCTGCTCTTGAGTAATAATTTTATTTCATTGAGAATTTATTTATGACTTATTAATTGATGAAATTCTGATCAAGTAGGCATTTGAGATTTGGGGCATTTTAAAATAATGCTACCATCTCTAAAACTTCAAATCATTAATGTTTTCAAATTATTAGTTTTTTTAAAAAGACTTTATTTATTTATTGTTAGAGAGGGGGAGGCAGGGAGAAAGAGAGTAACAGTGATGTGCGGTTGCCTCTCGCACAACCCCTACTGGGGACCTGGCCCACAACCCAGGCATGTGCCCTGACTGGGAATTGAACTGGTGACCCTTTGGTTCACAGGCAGGCACTTAATCCACTGAGTCACACCAGCCAGGGCATTCAAATGACTAGGTTTTATAAAAAAGTCCATTACTGTGTACATCTTCATATTTTAGTTAATAATTTAAAGCCCAGCCATTCCTCTCACTGCTTGGTTTCAATAAAAAGTATTCTATAAATCCTAAGATTTGCAAATATAAATAATAATCCTGTAAGCATAATCAACTTCATGAGAACAAAACTAACCAACATGAAGAATCCTCATTTTCAGGCTATAAGAACTAAGCCTTGAAGTGCTGGATCTCATGACCTGTGTTCCACGTGGGAAAAATCCAACCCTCGGACCTCCAAAGAAACTGCAGCTATCCCAGCGGCATACTGCTATCAGCACATCAGCTGCCTCATGCCAATTCTTCCTGATCGCTGTTCTCAAAAAGCAAGGCTATTCAATGGGCCAAACTGCATAGCAGCATGTTATGCACTATTGGAGCTCATTTTCACTCCAGTGTTCAAAGGTTGTGGTTGGAAAAATCTATACTGTGGTTGTATCTCAAGAGTGAATAACCAATACTCTTGATGAAAAGGAGGCTTCTGTATTCATTTCTATTGGAAGAGATTTAATGCTTGAAGAGAAACAATTTCATTGTAACTTCTTAAGACAGGGGTGTCAAACTCATTTTCACTGGGGGCCACATCAGCCTGGCGGTTGCCTTCAAGGGGCCAAATGTAACTTTAGGACTGTACAAATGTATCTACTCCTTAACTAGGGGCAAGGAGCTCTGCGCTGCCACTGGGTAGAAACAAGGCGGAGGGTCGCATAAAACAAGGTGAAAGGCTGGATTTGGCCTGCGGGCCTTGTGTTTGCAACCTGTATCTTAAGATACTAGAATTAGTTGAAATTTTCACCCCATTTGTTTTGTAAGATTACCTCCTTCTCATTATGCCGTTGCCTTACATTTTTTCCTTCACATTCTTGGATGTGAACTTTTACTCTGCTGAGCTTAAAAATATATACTGTTTATGTTATTTAATTTGAGTTGTATCAACCACAATGTCATGTGTCATTACCTGCAAATTTGGGGGAAATAAATTTGAACTTCTAATGCTATTTTAAACTTACAGCATTTCATTTATTTAGATAACAATGTTCTTCTTGCTACAAAATATAAGTTAGTGATGAAAACTCAGGGAACATTTATACTCTGTTATATCGACTTGAAAATTATAAATCAGACATAAGCATTGTGTGGGAAATCACAGACATTTTAGGTGTGATAGTTACCTTTAGTGATTATCTGCATATAAATGTAGAAATGTGGAAATGAAAAGAAATATAAGGATTTGATTAATACATTTTTCTGCTTTAAATCAAAATTTAGTACTTAGCATCAAAGTAGGTGGATTATATTTTCTTATTCTACTTTAATTTATAATAAAAATCTTAAAATATCAGAATTACTAGTGGGTATTATATTGTAAAATATATTCTAATGAGGCATTAAATTCAATATAAAAGGCCAGGGGAGTTCCACTTCTGAAATCTCCATCAAAATAACCCTTTTTTTCTTTTGATCTATTAATATGAAGAGTTCTGTAGATGTATAGCCTAATGTTAAATCATGATTGAATTAGTAGATTGAAACCCATTTGTTCATGTGTCTTATATTTTATGTGAATCTAGATGTTATACATCATGAGTAATGACGTATAAATTTATAAGCGAATATGTGAAGATTATTTTTTGTCATGCTTTACAACACTTTTCCACATCAGGATCATGCTAGATTTATGCAGGAATTGGAAAATATTTTCTTTACATCTATGTGGGCTAAATCTTAAATATTATGTCCATTAGGCCTCTATGTTATTGGAAAATAATTCTGTGATATTATCTTTTATTTTTTCTCTTATATTGATGTGTTTAATTTTTGTGTGTGTGTGTCCTGATGTGTTTAATTTTTAAAAGATCTATATCTTACAACATTTTATGTTACATATGTATATTTCAAAAATATATATTTATTAAATATGTAATGTTGGAAAAATTAGGTTGCTAGATAGATTATACATATAAATTTCCACCTCTTTAACTCAGTTTCTGAGATACTAATGGTCTCCTTCTCTTGTTCTCATGCCTACTTCTATGTTAATCCCAGCAAATAAAGTTATGTTGGTTGAATTTGCCAGAACTTTTTACAGTTCCTAGTCAAACGTTGCCACCACTCCTTCAAATTAGGAAGTTTAGTGCTGGCTTCCTGAATTTTCCTTCAATTTGTTTCAAACTCTAAGAGATGTCGCAGGGATTATCCAGGCCCTTCACGGTATGATAAAGTCTATTCACTTAACTTTCTGTAAATTGGCAAAGTGCTATTACTACACCAGGAATTTTAGCTTTTGTAAATCACTGTGCTTTCTTTGAGAAGCTGGGATTTTTGCTGTTGTTGCTTTGTGTTTTAATTTGGTCTTGCACTGACCCATCTGTTGGAAGTAAAAACATTTTTTTATCTGTTTAATTTTGCAAGTGGACTAACATAGTTTGAAGTATAGAATACTCAAAGTTACACTGAAATGAGAAATAGAGTACTAGAAAACCTAATGACAAGATATAGAAAAAACCGACTCTCCATTTTGTGAGGGCCTTACATAATTTGAGAATTTCAGTACACATTATAGTATAATAGCATGCTAATTCATGATATAATTGTGAGAAGACACTTTTCTGAGTGATCTGTACATAAATTAATGGTTATAAATATGCAATACTAATGGTTTCAATAGATTTCTCTCGTGTGTACTACAACATGAACCAGTAAAGGAAATGCAATTGATTAAAAAAAAAAAACAAACGTTTATGTGAGCTCGTTAGGAGTTTCACATAAGTGGATGGGTGGCAGCAATCTATTTGTTATAGAGATGTTCTTTATTCATATTTTTAGGAATTTTTAATCAAAACTGATCAGTTTCTTTGCAGGAGCTGGGGCACAGGGTGGGGGTGAGGATACAGTGTAGTGTTAGGTACTACAGTTACTAACGGTAGTAACAGCTTAGAATTGCAAACACCGTTGGCTAAAAGCCGTTGGCTGCACGTGGTTGACAAGATGTGCGCGAGCCTTCTGTAACAGTTCTCTCAGGGATACGTTAGCCTTAACTCAGCCACCATTGATTCCAAAGGTGCAGCAAGCAAACCTCTGAAAATGGAGGCAGCTGAAGGCTCGTCCGCACCCAAAGAGTCTCCCGAAGTCCCTTCGACTGAATCTAATGGTGACACGAAAGAAGCTGCAGACTCATCAGAAGCCAAGGAGAGGAAAGGGTACTTGCCAAGTGAGTCCAGGAAGATCCTCCGGAACTGGCTGTTTGAGCACCGCCTGAATGCCTACCCATCGGAAAGAGAGAAGCGTTTGCTGTCGGAGCAGACCGGGCTATCGTACCAGCAGATTGTTAATTGGTTCATCAATGCCCGCAAGCGCATTCTGCCACAAATACTTGAAGAGACTGGAGACACCCTCAACGTTATCCCCATCTACCACCACAAGTGCAAGAACACAAACCCGGTAGCTCACAAGAAAACAGGTTCATCTGCAGAGGCCAAGGTATCGCACATACCACCTGAGAATCTGGAGACAGCCCAAGGCCCACAGGAAAATGTCAAGGATTCTGCCACCAGACCTTTGCGAATGTCTTCTCCCGACTTCAGTGGTTTCCATTTGCTGGTGGAGGCAGCTGTACAAAAAGCTGAAGAACTGGAGCTGCAGAAGAAGCAAGAGTCTGCTGGCTGATTTCCCAGCTTGTCAGTCCTTTGTCTACTGTGCTATGTCCATTTATACTTCCCCTATTAATTTGTGCTTTTACTTTTTACAGAGCTGTGGTTCCTTCTAGGGGTGTGATCAGAACCATCAATACCAACTGGGACTCACTTTTGCCAGATACCTCATTGTGTCCAGGGAGAAGCACTCTGCAGCAAAGATCTCCTGGTTGACTCTGCTTCCTCCTGCATTGAAAAACTACACAAGTACACGAATTCATCTGACATGGCACAATGCAGTGCTGAGACTTCTTCACAAAACACTGTTCTGACATTTTGGTCCCAGGATTGATGCAGATATCACATCACCCCTCTTTATCCCTCTCTCTGTAACTTTCCTTGTGTGTTACTATGAATGATGCAAAATAAAGGCTATTACAAAATAAAGTAAAAGAACGCTTTACATACCACTGGCCTCATTTTAAGCTGGAAGTTTTTATGAAATGTTCAACTCTCTTTTCCTTTGTACTGCTCATTGACAATCTTAAAGAGTGCTTAATTGATTTCTGCAGGGAAATACCTGTAACAGGCAAAATACAGCCAATTAAACAGGCTACATGTAAACACTGAACTATTTGGGGGGTACCGGAGGAAAAAGTATACAATAAATGTAAGAAAATTCCAAATGGGAATTTTCTGCCATTGCCTGTTAAATAGTTGGTTTCAGAGAGCAATTTTTATTAGTTTTAGTTCTCTGCATTACAGAGGAAAAACATAAAAACAACAAAAAATAAAAAGCAGGAAAAACTGATCCAAAGCTTCCTACAAGAAACAGAACACAGGAAGATAAAAATAAAGGAAACAACAACAAAATGAATCAATCTTCCACCTTTTGTGACAAAAGAGTACAATTAATCTATTGTTTTTCTTGTTATGGTTTTGATTTGGTTTTACCTTCTTACTACGTTTATTTTTTTTTTCTTTTAAAATGTTGGCATTGGGAAGGTGGAGGTGGGAATAAGTAAAGCTTCAGGCAGCTCCCACTTGGAAATAATCCTCTGGTCCTGTAGCACTAAATCTTCCCACTGCCTCAATTCCAGGCAGATTTTCAATAAGAATGAAAGCTATTCCTCCACAAAACTGTAATTTACCTTCTCTGATCTTAGGGAGCTAACACCTCAAGAAGCTGGGGCTAGAAATTGGATGGTAGCCTCAGTTTTGGCTCCCTCCCTGAAGTGAAATACATCATGTTTGGTTTCTATTTCTAGCCCCATTTTTTAAAAGTTATTTATTTATTTATTTTTAGAGAGGGGGAAGGGAAGGAGAAAAAGAGGGAGAGAAACATCATGTGTGGTTGCCTCTCATGTGGCCCCCACTCCCTAGTGGGGTTGCATATACCTGGCCTGCAACCCAGGCATGTGCTGTGACTGGAAATTGAACTGGCGACCCTTTGGTTCGCAGCCCATGCTCAATCCACTGAGTCACACCAGCCAGGGCTCTAGCCCCATTTTTTTTATATTGTTATCTAATTACTGGCAAATTTCAATGAGAGACACCCTACCATCTTTAAACATCTTGAGAAACAATCACAGGTTATTTATTACTGAACATTATAATTTCACATTTTACAAGGAAGGAAACAGGCCTACGTTTCCAAACTGTTGTTCCTGAAATACACGAATGGATGTTGACGTTCCCAAAGCATGCATGGATTCAGGGAGATTTAGAAGTAAGAAGGGCAAAAATATTGATTATATCCTTTCTGGAGAGAGCCACTAAATATTGCATGAAACTCCCATCAAACTTCTTTTCAGAGTCTGTGACCTGAACCCTCACTTTTATGTCCAAGAAGTTTGGGGACTCCTTAGGCTTTTCTCTAAATGGAAAATGAACTATTATTGCAGCTTTACATCTGGGGTCTGGAAAAGGAAGTGTTTTCTTGTCTAACCACTTGTAGCTTGTCTCTAAGGCTGAGGCAAATGGGACTGTTGTAGAAGGATTATTGTAGAACATGTTCTAAGGGGAATATTCTGGGATGGTGGTAGTATTCTTCCATTGCCATTGTGCACAATGCATGATATGGGGCAGAAGGGGCTGCTGGTCAGTTTCTGTCTTGGTCTTATTGTTCTCCAAACATGCGGAAGCAGAATATTTTTTCCTCAGGCATATGAAGTAAAATATGCTTAAGAACTTTTCTTGTTCAGGTTTTGTTACATAATTGTTTATCAATTTGCATATAATTCACTCTCATTTCTCTAGACTTTAACCACTCTGCAGTTGCTTCTCTATTCTCATTATTTTCTCAGAGTAAAACTCAGAAAGCTTTCATCTACTGCACTCTGTACAAGGATATGGAAATAATTTTTTTAAAAATTTGCCATTTTTAACCCTAACCATCAAGTCCATATTGCCTGAGTTTAAGAACTATGCAAAACCTGACAGAGAAAAAAAATCTGTTTCTAACAACATAGACATGTAGAATCAAACAGTTGAAGGTAGCATTGAGAAAACTACTTGACTGGGTTATTTTCTTGGGAAAGAGAGATTTCTACTGATATCAGTGGAGTGAGAGAAGTATGTAGTACAAAGTTTGAGGGTGTCTGGGAAGTCCATAGGGGGTTGTTTTAACAAGGGATAGGTGTGATTGGTTAGGAATGAAGTTACTCTGTTCAGTGTTTTCTCAGTCTTGGGTGAAGAAGAAATGAGACTCATCAATGTGGACTCCAATAATTGCATATTAAAAGTATTCTAATAAAAAGATATCACATCAATGTGTCTTAATTCTCTGGTGTAGGACTACATTTCTAAACAACATAGTCATAACAAATATATTCACACTTGTATTCATATCTGTCGAGGATATAATGTGCTTTAATATATGCAAATGTATCTCATAGAAGAGAAGACATGAGAGAGTAATTCTCTTGGATATTTCATTCACTGAACATTAAGACAAATAATATGTTCAATGTCTCCATGCTGCAAGGGCATACATTGTGTACTATGATTAAGATATTCCAGTAAGTTTCCTTTGTCACTTTCTTAAAGCATCTCTTTTTGGTTTTCAAACATTTTTCAACACTTACAGTTGATTCGTTTCAGTTACTGTATGTGCTTTATCTTTTTTATTTCAAGGACTGAGACACTTGTCTCATTGTTTTCCTGAAAAAAATGCTTGTATATTTATGTGCTTGTTGTTAAAAATATGTGTTAGATCTTTTGGCATTTTTAGTTTATCCTTGGGAAATAGGTACAAAGCCGATTGCTAACAGATCAAAAAATCTAGCCTTTCACATAAGAAAGCATATAATTATTTTCAATTTTTAAGTATTTATGGATCTTTACTTTGTGTTTTTAGACCCTCAAGAATCAGCACACACTAAATAATAATCAGAAAGGATGTCAAAAATCATAAATAACTAAGCCAAGATCAATTGTAACGGAAAGGCAAAATTCACTGGCAGGAAACCATTAAAAATGAAATCCATACAACCAACTCTATAGCCTATCATATTATACTTTTTGCTACTACTTTTATAGGCAGAATGCCAGGCTGGGTAGTCCATAACCTTATCAAAAATGGCTCTTAAGGCTTTCTATAAAATGCAAATTGGAAATGTGATACACATAATTTAAAACACTTCCCTTATTTGAACTTTTTTAAAGAACATTTTTATTTTCCATAGTGTTTTTCATTTTTTTCAACAATTCTTATTAGCTTTGATACTGATAACATTTGGAACTTTTAAGTTTGCATTCCTTTATTTTTTATTCTTTAAAAAAGTTTTAAGAACTTGCATTCTTTTGCCCTGGCTGGTTTGGCTCACTTGATTAAGCACTGGCCTGCGAACTAAAGGGTTGGAGGTTCGATTCCCAGTCAGGGCAGAAGCCTAGGCTGCAGGCTGGATCTCTAGTTTGGTGTGTTCAAGAGGCAACCACACATCGATGTTTCTCTTCCTCTCTGTTTAAAAATAAATAAATAAAATCTTTAAAATTTTTTTGTATTCTTTTATATGAAAGAGATAATAACAAGGGTGACCAGTGTTTTACTACTTGCTATGCTAAATGTTACAACCTGCAATTCCTTCTCATACTCATATATAAAAAATGATTACTCTTCATGGGATATATATGAGGGGTGCCAAAAACCACCAGAATTTATCAAAAACAGCACATTTATTTTTATGTGTTTAAACTTTACTCACCTTCAAAGGACTCTCCATTGATGCAATACACCCATCGAGATGTTTTCACCACTGCCCAGTGTTTGAACTCATTGATTTTTATGCTTTTTAATGCGTCTGCCATTTTTTGTTTCACCTCTTCCACACTGGCAAAATGTTTCCCTTTGAGGACTTTTTCATCCCAAGAAACAACAAAAAAAGAAGTTGCTTGGGGCAAGATGAGGTGAATAGGGAGGGTGGGGCATGGGGGTCATGACGTTTTGGGTTTAAAAACCATTGAACAGTCAGCATGGTGTAGGCAGGTGTGCTCATAAATCACCCGTCATGAATGGGCAAATGCATTGAAAGAGTCTTCAAAAAAATGCACTGAAGCTGAATGCAGCCTCTCACCACAACACCAACTGGTGCACTGATGCAGATGGGCTCCTAGAACATTCACCTAGCAGGGGAAGCCTGTACTACAAGGGGTTTGCCCTACAGAAGGTAATGCTGTTTCTTAGGGGGAATCCCACCTCATATTATACATTTTATAACAGAGAGGTTTTAGATATTAAAATCTGACCAAAGAATTGTTAAGTGCCTTGGCTCACTAAACACCATATGATATCACCTATAAGTGGAACCTAATCAACAAAACAAACAAGCAAGCAAAATAGAACCAGAGACATTGAAATGAAAAACAAATTGACAGTAACCAGTGGGAGGTGGGAGGGGATAATGGGGGAGGGGAAGAGGGGGTTGTCAAGGAACATGTATAAAGGTCAAATGGACAAAACCAAAGGAGCATAGGATCAAGGGTGGGAAGTGGGGGTGGCTGGGATGGGGGGAGTGTTAGGGGGGAAATGGAGAC